ACTTTCTATTTAAAGGTGCTGTGGAGATACAGAGGAGAAAAGCCAGAAACTTTGGGTGCCAACACTCAAATATATGATTGGATTCCTCAGAATGACCTCCTGGGTAAGTAAAGTTGGTACCAATCACAGTTATTTCTTTCTATGTCTGCCTTTTGTTCCATAAAAAATAATCCTAATGAAATCAGATGCCACAGAGACGGTAAAGTTCACAGTAACACTGCCAACTAAGATTTTTTACAAAAATACTCAAATCAGCTCAAATTAGTTGTTCAGGTTACTCCAGATCTTTCACGGTTATTTGACATGTCTTAGGTCACCCTAAAGCTAGAGCTTTCATCACCCACGGAGGCACAAACGGGATTTATGAAGCCATCTACCACGGTGTTCCTATGGTGGGAATCCCCGTGTTTGGTGACCAGCCAGACAACATGGTCCATATGAAGGCTAAAGGTGCTGCAGTTATTTTCAACGTGAATTTCATGACGTCTGAAGATCTTAGAGATGCAATCAACACAGTCATCAATGACAAATCGTGAGTTCTTTGAACTATCTGTACTTTGGATTAAGTACCGAAAGCATAGATTTTGTACCAAAGACGAATGTGGGCTCAAGAGTATGAAAAGCATGAAGGCCAAGAATAACATACCTTAAATTTGAATTATTTGGAATTTCCAGCAAGGGGAGAATCCACTGGCTGGAAATTACATACACTGAGCACCATCTAGTCTTAGTTTGGCCAATTTTTAAAATTATTATTTTTAAATGTATTTAAATGTCCATGTATTAATTTGTCAATGCAAAAAATGTATAAATGTTTTTGTACTTTGTTTTAATTTGCTGTTAAGCCTCTTTTACTCTGATGGCATAGTAGAAACTTGAACTTCCAAGACAAGTATCTGTTCAAACAATTTAATTTTGATGAAGTGATTTCCAATTGTTATTTATTAGGTTGTAGAACATTAATCATTTATCAGTTTTAGAGTTTTGAAATACATCCCTTTATTGTGTGGCAAAAAAAAAAAAATCAAAGTATAACAATTCAAAGGTTGTTTTTTTGGTTTTTTTTTTAAACCTATATGCACATTCACAGGTACAAACAAAATGCTATGAGGCTGTCCCGCATCCACCACGACAGACCCATGAATGCTCTGGAAGAGGCAGTATTCTGGATCGAGTTCACACTGAGAAACAAAGGGGCCAAGCACCTGAGGGTCCAGGCCCATGAACTCACCTGGTACCAGTATCTCAGCCTTGATGTCCTGGGCTTCTTCTTCACCATAGTTCTACTCATCATATTCATCTTCATCAAGACCTGCAGTTTCTGTTTGCACAGGTGTTGT